TTTACTTCTTATTACTATTACCCTGAATAACAAAAATAATCACATCAATAATAATAAAAATAACAATATTAATATTGATAGCATAGAAAAAAAACATCTTAAATACTTAGAAGTCCCACTGGGTTACTAATTGACCCTGGTGGCTAAGTACTTGTGGGACCATTTATGTGTAACAAAATTTGCCCAAAAACTAAGACAACAGTGGACAGTAAATGTACCCACAAAGGGTTGACCCCCCCCCCCCAAATCTATTTGCAAGGACAGCAGAATGGGTATTGACATTTCCTTTACAATAATGGTTAATTATTAAAACAAATAAATGTGCTAGATTGTAGACATCAAGGTCATATAGCACTGTGGTAAAGTATAGTGGTGAAAAGGGTTAGAAATCATTTAATGATTTGGGTAAAGTTAGAGGTTGAACAGTAACAGAGGCTACTGAGGTAATGAAAAGGGTACAGAGGGGGAGCTGATGGCATATAGTATAAAGTAAATGTTGTTAGAATGGGAGAGAGCTATGGAAGTTGGGTAATTACATCAATGGAGGATATTCATAAGTCTGAGAAAGAAGAATAAGTTGTCAAAGTAAAATGTAGGGGATTCTGAGAGGATGTTCAATAGGTTAGGGGTCGAGGAAGAGTGAACAAGTGAGGAAAAGCAGAGGTATGAGTTGCTGTAAAAGCAGGGATAGGATAGTAGGATGTGGGGAACTGAAAGAGGAACATCGCATGAGGAGCACAGAAGTGGATCAGATTGTGACATGAATTAGGAATGTGTTTCCAAGACTGGAATGTAGTGCCAAGTCTTACCAGATATCACAACAGGTTTAAAAATTTGGGAACATGGCATGTCTAAATTATTGTCAGTCTTTTCTCTTTGTAAAGATAAAAAGAAATTACACTATAATTGAAAATTTGACAATATATCTAACACATAGATGAGGGGGAATCAAAGCAAAATATATCAAAATTAATCGGTCAAAGCTTTTAACCCCTTGGATCCAGTTGCTTCACAGCAATCACATGCGCATTAGGCTTACATGAGTGGCCGCCCTACCAAATGCACATTATGTGGGCCGGGCGCACATGAACACTCGTGAGCAGTGACAAGAGTCTATGCCTCCCCTATACAATGTTAATTTCTCTTTTCATGAATAAGCATTTTTTGTTTTTTTGCCATTTTCCAAAGTCCATATTTGACATTTGATTTGCTTTATCCATATTATTCCTCTAGGCAGTCCATAACTCAGTGCAAGTAAAAAAAAAATATGTAACATTTTACTGTTTGTGTATTCTTTCTTTTTTCCTTTTTTCTAATATTCAATTTTCGGTATTATTAGAAATGCAACCCCACCTATTATGAATCTGAGCTTACCATGTGGTAGAACACATCATTCTATGATAGTTTTCTTCTATACCATTTTCTTCGCAAATTGATAATAATGGAGTTATTGAAGGCATAAAATTCACGATTTCCAGGAGCCGCAGTAACCTTACGTCTCCAGGGCAGTGACAAAATGACAAAAAATTGTTAAGAGCAACGAAAAGTCGGACGGATTTGTAGCGGATGATGTATGCGCAGGAAATCAAATGAGGCAAGTAGATTCGTTTGTGAACGTGACATGACCATAGACACTCAATAGAACCAATCAGATATGGAATAGAGCATCATGTGACAATAGAAGCTAGGCCTAGGAGAAATCAGTTGAAATTCAAATCAGTTTAATCATGGCTACACAGTGCGCAAGTTGTGAGAACAATTATTTCAACTTTCTCGGCAAAATATCATCGCAATAACAAAGCTAGTTTGCAATATCTGCGAGATCATGGTGTTCTTCCAGTGAAAGTACAGTGCCCGCACTGCAAGACACTGTGTCATTATAGAAAAGACAGACACCAGTCGGTTTGTGGTGCATGGACAAAGATCGCAAAGACTAAACGGAGAAAACAGTGCAACAACTTCACGGTAAGTGATTGCAAAGGGACATTTCTCTGGAGAACTAGACTTGAACCCTATCAAATACTCTCCTTCATCAATCACTGGCTAAGCAGACACTGGGATCCTCAGACCATTATGGGGTGCCTCCATATTGCCAAGCGCACGAGTGTGGACTGGCGAAACTTCTGCTCCGAGGTTACAAAGCACTGGCTAGACAATCAGAAACCCAAAGGTGGACCAGGAATTATAGTGATAATTGACGAGACACTTAGGCAAGCGTAAATATGAGAGGGGGAAGGCTGCTGAGCCAGATATGGGTGTTCGGCGGGATCGAGAAGCTCTTCCTTGTCCCCCTTGTTGACCCCCTGAGCAGGAAACGTGATGCTGAAACCCTCATACCTCTTAAAAAGAAGTATATTCTCCCAGGTCAGTCATCGTAAGTGACGGATGGACTGCATACCGGACAATTAGCGATATGAACACCAAGTAATAAACCACACGGAACACTTTGTGGATCCCGAAAACCCGGAGATCTACACTCAGAACATTGAGCGGTACTGGCGTGACGTTAAAGAGTGGAGCAAGAGACCAGGTAATAGACAAGAATTCTATAAACAATACTTGGCTCAGTATCTGTTTCTGCACCAATACAAGCCAGAAGTAGTCCACCACCACTTCTTCATCAAAGCCAGGAAGCTGTACCCTCTGCTGTCCGAAAAGGAACGGTGGATAGCCATCACAATTCCTGCCAACAATGACATGGATGACCCCAACGATCCCAGTGACCCGCAACCTGGCCTGTCTGGAGTTAGTGCATAAGGTAAGACTTAGTTGAACTGTTCCTGGGTCTGGGCTCTCTTGCCGGAACATACGAGGTGATTTTGCAGACTAAGCCAGGGGTGGGGGGCAGACCCCCCTTGAAAGGTGTTTAAGGGGACAGAGCCCCCTTTACAATCAGGAAATGTGTAGATATACTATGATTAATAGTGTTTTACCGATATTTCTCGAAATTACCCCCTGATTTTCCCTAATATGTATCTTGCCCTCCCCTACTATCGGGAACGATACTGTAGCTGTGCTTTGGTTGTCAAGGAAATGAGTGCTAGATTCATTTGAAACACGACGAAAGCTATCTGAAAATTATTTTATTTGTGGAAAATAGCCTGTGGGGTTGCATTTCCAAATTTACCTAATTTTCAGTAATGCAACCTACGCCACTGATCATGGCGACCATGAATAGAGTACTGAGCATGGACATGGTGTCTTTCCTGGTGCTGATGCTCTTCCAGTCATGGCTCATGAACATTACATTTGGCACTTATTTATCAATGGGAACAATACTAAAGCCCCTTTCTATATATCAAATGAGTCTAATCACTCTCCAAGACTTGTGACAAGTCTACTACATCACCCTGGCCTTCAGCCAAAACACTCATGACAGCAAGCTTGTGTCACCTGGCCTGCAGCCAGATTTTCCCATGACAGCATGTTCACGTCACCACCCCTCAAGCCAATTTTTTTCATGATGGGATGGTCACATCATTTGGATCAAAGGGGTTAACAGTGCACTGAGGAATACTGTAAACACACTCAGTGCACTATGAAAGTGTTTTTTCTATTCAAAATTGGATTTCACTACACTCCCCTCTCATCCCCCCCAAAAAAAAAAATTTAACAACTAATAATAGTCCAGACTAAACAAGTGGCCATGCTTAATGAGTCCTATTTAGCTCAAAAACCTTTGAGCAGGCTTGTCTATGCATGGCATGGAGTCTTGCCCCCTGGCATGTACATCTCATTCCTCATGATGTGGTTCGATGTCATCCAGTGGAAGTTAGTTAAAAGAAAATTAGATGACTACTTAAATCTCATATTGGATGAACCACCCCAAGTGATAGTGAAAGAATGAAAGCTGAATCACACTTTCTTCCTCATCAAGTTAAGCTCCTAGCAACTGAAAAAAAAGTCTCTCTCCCAGGATTCCTTTAGAATGAGTTAAGTAAATAATTAAGTATCTAAACATGTGGTTATGAATGAAGAATAAATAAACAGATTACTCTGTATGATAACTAACATGACACTCAGTTCAATGCCACTGTTGGTGAGGCCAGCAATGATCTTGGATGCTTGATCATCACTGAACTCTCCACTGAAGTCTGTCATCAACACAATTTTCTTGCTGCTAAATCGCATTCCACTGAAAAGGAAAAATAATTCAGTAACCATGAAACACAGTTCTATAAAGATGTTGGCACACAAATTGTAGAAAGTATTTAACGATCCTAGAGATAATAAATATTCAAATTTAATATTTATCCTAACATTTTCCAATGCCTTGTATTCAAACTTTAAAGAATACCCCCACAAAGAATTCAAAATTCCCATCAAAGATCAATATAAGGAATATAAAAAGCAGTTGTATGTAAATATGAGCACAAATCTTTCATCAACACACTATCAATAGAAAACTATAGCAGATATTTGGACTTACTCAGGATCATGCAAGAGGTCCATTGCTACTACCAGGGCATCCAGCCAATCTGCTGTAGCTTTCCCATAAGGCAGCTGGTCTACCTCATTCATCATGTCCCAGTCCACAGTCATTATTTCCCTTAGGACTGAAGATCATGAATTAAAAGGCAGATACCAGGAAACAATAAGAATTTATATTACATATTAACCAAAACAGAAACAATGCTTACAAAGCTATGCTAATGTAGTTATATCCAGCAAAGATGGGACATCTGCACTTTGCAAAGGTAAAAAATTCATCATTATTTATTCTGGAAAGATAGAGCTTGTCAGCCTTTCTGTCAATTTATAGATAAAGAACCAGTTTAAGGTCTATCTTGCTGAACATACATGAGCAAGGTTTGTTGGCTTTTGCTAAAGTAGAATCTTCTTGCAGTCCTATACTGAACAGGTATATACATTCCTTTATTATTATTAATAATAATAATTAAAAAAAGAAAAAAAATAAATAAATAAATCATGCAATTTCCACTATATACCAAAGTAAGCTTTCATAAAACAGGGTTATTGTGTCATACCTGTAAATGTCGATACTGGTCTCCACTAGCAAGATTATTGTCTGTACCATCTGTACCAAACAAAACTACACCCACTTGATCTTTACACTTTTCTGCAAACATCTGTAAAAGTTGATAATAATAAATCAATAGTAACACAACTCATGATATTTTCCTCATTATCATAAATAAAGAGTGCTCCCAGAATTTACCTTCCGTTGCAGAATATTTGTTAAGCATTTTTTGCCTGTGAGAAGAAGCTTGTTTCCGTGCTGGCCCGCACACCTGGACCAACATCTAGGACCACCACAATACCCTCCTGCAAGACAAAAGAAATTTACATTACCATTTTGAAATTACCAGATTAATCTAGTTGAACCGCTTTATCCATGTGAGAGTTTATTAATTATCTTCAACATCTACATCTACAAATTTCTATCACCAAATGCTCTTTCGACAGAAATGTTGACCATCTCTGTTCTGTCTAATTCTAAACAATTATTGGGACTTTAAAAAGAAGTTACAGGAAGTCAGCACTACCTCTTATTTCCTTTATCTGACCCCACACCTCTCAACATGCATTCCAAAGAAAAGTAAAATGCTTTTAGGATTTAGTTTAGTTATACCTTAATAATCCAGAATCAAACACATTACAAAGGATTAATCTGATTTTGTTCAACCACAACTATTAATATATAAGCCTGAAACTAACACATTTGATTTGTCAAAAAAAGAAATATATAATGTCTTTGCACCAAATGAGCTGAAAATTGGCAATCCACACCCCACTATAGTTGTGCATTACATGTAAATATATAATCAAAATCAGCTGAAATTCTATAGGTCCCCCAGTGCTCTACTTAATGACAGATCTCTAAGAGACAATACTTAGTCAGAGATGAGAATTTATCATGCTTTGTAAGCATTAAGGAAAGTTATTATTTAATGTGTTTTAAGACACCCAATTAAATCAACCTTTACAACAATATAATACTACAAGGAAACAATTGCATCTAAACATGAGAGATTCACTGACAAAAAGGACACTAACATAACAAGCTACAATT